ATTCTCATCAAACACTGTCTTTTATTATTTAATAAGCTGAAATTTGTAATCACTGGACGTTATTTATACAGTTTGAATTATTTTACAAAATTATTCTTCTTTTTCACTTTCAAAAATATAATTAAAATACTCGATATAATGCCAACCAATCATAAGTAACAGTGAATAGTGAGTGACATCAAGAAACTAGTGATAACTAATTGTTGCAACAGATGTATGAAATTAAACATCAAGATTTTCAATTGTATAGTAAGTGATGAAGAAGCAAGGAAGGAATCTGATTTGAAAATTTTAATTGGTGATTTAACTTAACAGTATTTAAACCTCAAGATCTATCAATTACTTAATACCTATCATTTCTACATCAAGAAATATTTTGTGATGAAGACTACTATAAACTTTTGGGTGTTCACAAACTGAACTTGACTTAGGCCTACTTTGCTAAAATACTCACATTGCAATATTTCTATTGACTTCTGCCGTTTTGAACTTAAACCTAAATTATCATTTTACTAAATTCAAAATTTGAACTTTCATCTTTTTAAAAGTGTATACCCAATTGAACTGTAACTTTTGATGAACATTAGGCTTATGCCTATCCAAAATCACATAAGCCTACTTTGAGCCGGCACGGTACTCCTAGAACCCTGAGATAAGAATTTCATCTAAATTTATAACCATTTGTCCAATTTGATAAATGAAAGGTTTATATGTGTTCACTATTGTAAACCCTGGACATTTATTTATTTACCAACACACATAGACTAATAAAGAACTTTACAACACTTAGATTAGAATTTTAAAAAAAGACCACATATAAGGGTGGCCAATTCTTTCATAAATTGCCCGAAAGTTTGAAAAGTGAGACTAACATTAAGAAATTCAATAAAAATTTAAAGGCACACTTGTTATTCAATGAATGAGTTTTTATATAAAATAAGTTAAATGGCGTTGTTGGTAAAATTTGTTGGTAAAAAGGTGTACTGTATTATACTTGTAAATAGATTAATTTTAATGTACTTATTTTTATTTCTTAGAAATAAGATCTGACACCATTCATTGTACATAAATTGTACATATCTATATATAAAGACATATTTGATTTGATTTGATAAATACAAAACAATGACTTTTTAATGATTTTGTAGTTGCCTTTTAGTTACTTTGGGCTCTAGGTAGCTGTAATAATGCAGTGGAATTTATAATGAAAAAAATTACAATGACATTTTGAAATATGGCGGTGTACGATTATTTCGTCGTAGGCCTATAAGGTTGGCAACGCTCCGTGCAGTGGGCACGGCCGGGTTAGCGACTTCCGCCGCGACACAAAATCGAGTTAGCCGGTTCCGGAGTTAGCCAATTCCTGACTGTGATGGTTAGCCAGTTCCGCCACCCGACCGAGCCAGTGAGTTTCAGAGTTAGTCAATTCCTATGTCTCCTGCTAGTTTAAGGAGTACTAGGGGAATGAGCATTGCTCATGGTATTTAGCCTAATTTGTTCGAGAGGTCAAAGAATTTAAAATATAGGCCTACATATATTGGATTTCCATGATAGTCCATACAGCATTTTATTCACGACCTTGTCATCTTAAGTCACTGAAATACAATTGTAAATAAGCCACATTACTGACACACCAAAAAGAAAATTTTTAAAATCTACGTTTTTTTTACTCGCCATTGTATAGGACTTGATGTTATAATAGATAATCTCATGCCATAATTAATCGTTTATTGGCATAAACTTTGCATCGGGTTTCCTCTGTAAATTAATTGACCACTTGCCAAATGACGCATCATACTAGGCCTAAAGAAAATTTTATTGAAACCAATAAATTCCACAGATAAATCTATTCTTACAAATATATTAAATCTAGTGTAAACTAAAAATAAAAATAAAGTTTTTAAAAACTACACATAAATTAAGCACTCTGAATACTCTAAGATTTAGGTTAGATAATAATAGTTTCAAGACTAAATTTAAGGATTTGCGAGACAAAAAGTTGCAAAGCCTTCTTTGTACATACTCTAGAGTCTAGAGCCTTTTATGTTGTATGAATTTGCACGAGTGTCAAGAGATTAGTTTTCATACTGAACCACATTTTAGAATAATAAGTCTGAATAAAAGAAACATGTCCAAACATAATTATTAATTTGTAACTTTATTTAAACTATTAAAATATATATCTTAATATTTTTATTATGTTGTAAGCTATTTTTGTCTTCAGTAGACATTCCCTCGTTATTAATTTAGGCCTACCTTTCAAATTTTTCATACGGACGATCAATCTATATTGAAATTTTCTACAATAGGTAGCTAAAAATAAGAAAATCTCATGATATATAGGCCTACTCGTAACATCTGTTGACCAGCATTGTTGTGATGCGTTAGTCGTGGGATCCCGGAACGTCGCAACTAATTATGGAATCGAAGAACAACATGCCAATTCCAGAGACGCATCGTATAAACGTTCTTGGCTTTTCCTCGGATTTGACTTTTAGTTCAATAGTGTATGTTTTGTGGTAAAAGACTTGAACAGTCATTGTAATTATCCTATTGCTGAGTAATACACCCCAAGTGTATTATATAATCAATGCTCAATAGTATTCGTAAGAATATCCTTTTTTAGTACTGTATTTAGTAGTTTGCTTCTGTAATGTAGATGATTTCTTACAAACATATGTTACAGTTAATTTATTTACATTTTCATAAAACGGCTATAAGAAGAATGTGTATGAATAAAACTAAAAATGATTAAATAATATTACTGAATTGTATAAACAAAGAGTATTAACAATAGTATATGACAACGCTATAAAGACCCAATGATCATGGACGCGGTCACTGTCGGATCATCAAAAAGCAACGTTACTTTCCCAACATCTTGTTCGTTGTACAGACTATTCAACAGATGAGGGAGTTTACGAACCCTTCATTAAAAATCAAAAAGCTATTTTACAATTTATCAGACTAAATGTTAAAAATACTAAAATTTCACAGCCTTGACATGTTTTTACGAAAAAACATTTTCCCAGATCAGAGCCTAGCATTGGTATTGTTTTTAAAACCAATATATTTTTAACAATTCAAAGGAAATCATTGGAGACGTTTTTGAAATCATTGTCGTAAAAACAAACACATTATCGTATTACCTATATAGTATGAATAAAATGTATCAAGGTAGTAGTGATTAAGCAGTGATGATTGATTGAAAAAATGACATATTGGTGTTATAGTATATACTGTATCTAGTCTTTTTTTAAGGATGTGAAAATTGATTAATGCGAATGAATATTAGGGAATATTAGGAATATTAGTTAGCCGTGTTATGCTTTTGTCGATTGATTTCAGAATCTTAGTTAGCATGTAAAAGAATTATGTACATTTTTTTCATGAGTTTTTACAACTGAAAAAACATAGACCTAAATGATTGAAGGTGCTGGCAAAATATTGTTACAAACAATTGCATTAGCTTTCATCTACCAATCAGAAACTTGGTTTAATGCACAATGTTTAAATTGGCTAAAAATAAAGTTATAAAAAGCCCTCATAACTTTGGAATGGATCAATATTTGATAAAATGGATTGTGGCATTGTAATATACCGTAATGGATTGCAAACCCACCTTGAAAACAATATTTTGCATCCAATATGGTGAATCAAAGATGACGGCCTGAAGTGACCACCTTGTCAAAATTAAGTACTTGCTACACAACAATGTTTGGAAGTGGTCTGGGACTGATATTTGTAAAATGAAGAAAAGAGTTGAAGGGGGGGGGGGGCAATTAAAACTCACCCTGTATCTATACTAATATATAAAAATGAAAAATCACTGAACCGATTGAAATAAAATGTTGTATGAAGGTAGCTTATATACCTGATTAACATATGGGCCATTCCTGTTATTATATTTCCCTTGGCTACGCCCCATGGGCTTCCAAAGTTTCAGTGTTTACATTTTAGAAGATTGTAAATAGTCAAAAATATTAATTGAAGTCAGCTGTAAATACTACAACTTGACAGTTCAAACAGCAGAGGTTAAGGGGTACAGGTTCTGCTCCCAAGATTCTAAAGTTTTATGATTATGAGAATAGTTTGATTAAAATATTTATAAAACTAGGCCTATACTTATTTTCATGGAAACAGAAGGATCATTACAATGTATAATTTTTTTGGAATAATATTGATATGGTAGCTTTTTGTTTACAAATTAGAGCTGATAAAACAAAATCGTTGTTTGGATCAGGATTAATAGATTTTAAAAACTAAGGGATATATGTAGGATACTGGTACAGTTTTAAAAATTTTACTGACTCAATGTTTACACTTTTATTTGTATTTTAATTAAATTTACAAACTAAATTTCCACTATACCTACTTTTATTCTGTCCAGAGGTAGCTACTACTTATATTTTCTTTATCATCTACTTCACATTCGCTTTTTTACATTTACAGAAATCTCCTTAGTACCGTAGTTGTGTTTTTACAACACTGCTTTAATTTGACTATGGAGAATATCATAAAACTAAGCTGCACGCAATTCACTTTTGTTTCTAAAATCAATTAAATATCTGTAACGTAACTATGTTTCTTTACTCAATGTTTTAAATAAAGGTGTAAATTAATGCAAATACATACACGTTTTTAACTATGGAACAATTTAAAATAATAACTGTTATGTATTATGTTGTTGATTTTTATATAACGGAATTCAAGATCAAATATTTTTGCTTCAGTGTCCTCTCCGTTGCGAAGCACGGGTGGTACAACAGCTAGTATTTTATATACGTGTGTCTGTTAGCATAACTCAAGCAAAAATCATATGATATTTATGTAAAATTTGGTAAAGCAGTTTCTTCAGGTCCAGATCTTACTATGAGACCTACTAGGACCGTAATTAATTAGTATCTTTTAATTAAATGGCAAGAGTAATTTATAAGAGTAAGTCCCTTAGTATACCTGAATAAATAAATTATCAAACAAATGTGTTTAAATAAACTTACCCCTGGTCTATCCTGTCAACAGGGTTTGGTCCAGGTATTTGTCCAGGCATAATCCCATGTCCAGGAATAGGTCCGGGGATGGGCCCATGTCCAAATGGTGATCCTGGAGGCATTCCAAACTGATGACCACCAAAAGGCTGTCCGGGGGAAGAGAAATGGGGGTTGGCACCTCCAGGGGGACCTCCCACAAATGGAGGGCCAGATGAGTTTGGTCTTCCAACAAATTGTGGTCCACCTCCTGAAGGTGAGCCAAAAGGCCCCGGCCCATTGTAAGGAGGTCCCGTCGAATTAGAGGGAGGGGGAAACCCCCCAGGTTGAGGGGGGCCTGGACCTGGCGTCGAGGATCCAGAAGGAGCAGGAGATGCAGTGTACTGCGGAGTGGATGAGCCTGGTGGGGGGCCTCCAGAGTATGGGGGGGCTCCAGCAGGGGAACCAGCCCCTGCCGGGGGCCCCTGAAAGGGAGGGCCTTGGTAGCCCGTGTTGGGACTAGAAAAGTTCTGAGATGAGTTAGAAGTAAAAGACTGGGGCTCTGGGGGTGGCCCCTTCCAGGACACAGCAGGATCCTCCAGGGTGGCTGTGAGAGATATGGGAGGAGCGACTCTGCGACTACAGCCTGCAACATAAAACAACAATACATCAACATTCAGCACTAAGTTTGTATTTCAAAAAGAAATCAGAGCCCCTAATTCCTTATCACTATGAGTTACCAGTACATAGGTACAGTAGACTCCCTCTTATCCGAACTCCTTGGGACCGAGGCCTGTCCGGATAACGGGTTTTCCGGTTAAACTGACGTCCCCAAAACTCGTTAAAACGGACTGTTTACTGTGGTATTCGACTTAAATTTAGGAGAGCATTGTATTTAGACACGTGATCACTGGTCTCAAAACTTTCCCACGAGAACAGTCGTTTCAGTACTGCCAACTTCCTGCCAATCTAGTCCGGTTAAACCAATGTGCTGATAAAAATTGCCCGGTTAAAGAGATGTCATTTCCGCCGAGTGTAGTCTGGTTAAACCAATGTGTTGGTTAAAGAGATGTCATTTCCGCCGAGTGTAGTCCGGTTAAACCGATGTCCGGAATAGAGGGAGTCTACTGTAGTCTACTAATCTATATGGGTGAAAGTGGGAACCAAATATAGATTTAGAAATGGTGCATAAAAAATCAATTTAGTATTAATTTTCATTTCATACTTTCTGTAGGCTAATAATTGCTTGATGAATGAGAAATGGTTTGATAAAATTTTCATCGTTCTCCCATAAACCCGTTGTAAAATTATGTTAGGTAGTATAAATATGATTTTGTAAGAAAGCAAGTGTCTTAAAACTAGCCTAATTGTACAATGCCTGGGTGAGATGTCAATGTTTCTATGACTACTATTTGCATAGCCCAAATTATTTATTTTTTACAGAAAGTATCTATATATTAATAGGCATCTTTATAAAATGGCAACCATGACTTCTGCCTAAAAGAAACTTGTGATAAACTAGCACATTGGCCAAACTGTAAAAGGTAGCACATCAATTGTTTAATTCACAACATTTTTATCGAATATATATTAAGCGAACGATATTTTTTAATACCTTAACTATTTGCTTGATTTGTGAAAGTTCTAATGAACAACAAGATATTGTTTTTATCTTGACAACTTTTGAGTATGAAAGTGTACATGGAGGCAATTTCAGATTTGCATTTAAAAATAAAATTACAGTACTGTAGGTTACTGACAAGTTTTAACTCCATATGAAGCATTTTGGTCTTCACTAACCATGACCAAATGACTAGTCTAATAAATTTGTAAATAGAGGCCCAATGTGAAGATGCAAGAAAAATATTTAACACCAAAGGTAGGCTACCAGTAGGCCTATTTTACAAAGTCACTAAAAGTTTTGTTAGATCCTAAACCTTCTTTTTCCAAAACACCAGAGACCCGTTAAATGAGATTGAATAGAATACAGAATTATTCAGATTGGCTGGGAATGCAGTTGGATAGAAAATAAAAAACCCCGCCGCAGCAAACCTGCAGACTAAGCAAATTTCCATTTGCCTGAATTGATTTTAAATTAAATCTATTTAAATAACATTAGGTTCAAAGAGTACCTATATTTGCTGCTACAGATATGACTAATAAAGTGTTTTTAGTAAAATATTAATAGCTTAGAATAAAATTAATAAATTTTCCATAAAAATATATCCATAAACAAGCAAACTAGGCCTACAACATTTTACCAAATTCTCCAAAAGAACATGGGAATTGTAAATTTACAGTTTGTTTCTTTTTTTTCTACGTAATCAATAACCGTAGGGCTTTTTTATATTATTGTTATTTTTTTACTGAGGACTAGGCTTACAAGTAGGGCCTACAAAAACTCTTTTATACTAAATAAATCAAGTTATTTGTTTTTTAAGCTCTTTAAAATGGCCAAGAGAGAAATTGGGAAATTTTCCGTTTTCAGGGTCAAAAATTAGAAAAACCCCAAAACTCAAGTTATCGCGTTCACTGACAAATTTTATACATAGGGCGTTTTTAAAAGAATGCTGGGATTTAAATTTTCATCGCTTGGGTACTATTCAAGGTAACTAAATGTTTAAAACGTCAAATTGAAGTTAAAATAACCAAGTTTTGTTCCCCGTGTAGCAAGAGAGGAAATTTTGACATTGGCATGATGCGCAAAACAGGTGCGCGGTAATAGGCCACTATTGTGACTCATACGCCTGACGCCAGTTGCCACTACGACGTTTACGGCGCAACAGAAGGAACAGATTGTAATTTGTGGTTCGCAGCTAGCTTATATCCATTGCTAAATTAAACCAAATTTAAATCTACTTGATGATAAAGAAACTTGAAGCTCGTTTAATGAGTTTCGTGGCACCGTAGTGTTTTGAAAAGACATTCACCTAGCCAGATAAGAACAAACGATGACATAGTCTAAGAAATCCGAAAATTCTGCATCAGAAGCCCGAAAAAATTGATTGCCCGACGAAGTCTTGGCCATTTTGTGATGTTATCTGTAAAAGATAGAGTCCTTGTGTCTAAAAAGATTCAGTTAACACATTCACTGCTAAAAACCTTTACACAGGTGCTCCTAAACTGCGGCGAGGCCCGGGCGGAGCCCTGGCACGCTAACTGAATCAGCGATCGCTGTTGGCATTGAAATATCTAAGTAAGACAAATCATAAAAGAGCAGTGGTGATTGTTCTGCATTACCCCGAAAGTGGACGTAGTTCACTGAAACACCCAAAGGTAGTCATCATCACTGCCTGGATCAATAACCAGAGTCTTTGTTATATAGCTCTAATAGAGAAAATCCCCGAAAACGGGACGAAGGCATAGACAGGATTTTACGGGAATGTTTAGTACCAACCTACACCAAAATAAAGCTCGCATTCTAGGCTACAGGCTGGCAGCAAATACAACATTGCCCAGCAATGGCTGAGCTCAGATTGAAGCAAAGTTGTTGGCATTGGTGAAGGACGACATTTCCCGCCCCGCACCAGGGGAGCCAGTACCGCAGGACGAAAATTCCCGCACCTCGCACTGAACATGTTAAGACATCAGATAAACCTGCCGATCGCCCTAAGCGTGGGCCTACATACTTTGCCAGTTTTATGCTCATATAAGATTGATGAAAATCTGAACTTTATTAAATCATTCCTATAGGATCAAAGAGTGAGAAGAAACTTTGTTCTTTTCCCTTCAATTTGACGTTAAAATCGTTTAATTATCTTGAATAGTCCCCGAGCAACGACCGTTTAAAATCCCGGCAATCTTTTAAAAACACCCTGGATATATACAGATGTCCCTTGTTAGGTGTCTCAAATTGATTACGGAAAAACGGCTTAACGTACAGGGATGAAATGAAATTATTTCCCGCTAAATCAACCCCAAAGAATAACGTTTAAAAAAACATCCGTTACAGGGTGTGCCAAAAACTGAGGGTCACTAGTTCGAATCTCGGAATTTCCAAATGTAAACATATATTATGTTCCTACTTCATTTTAAAGGTAGGTATTTAATAGAAAAACGTTTTGGCGAAAACAGAAATAAATTATCTTTTCCTACAGTTACCTAACAATGTACATGTTCTCTCACTGATTTGAGAAAGCAAAGTGGCCAATTCGCTCATCAGTGAGACAATGTTAACATTGTCTCACTCTAATTACTTTGTCTCACTCCAGATTTGCAATGAGAAGGCACGAAATAGTGAGCGCGTAACATACAGGCAACGTCGTATGCACGCGAAATACGTTGGCAGCACTGGCTGTAAATCAGCTGGTCAGCTGTTGTACTGATGTATTTGTCAATTTGTCACTTCACATTAAATGTTAGGCCTATATTAAAAGTTCACTTCTGTGTAAAAATAGGTTATGTTTCTTCACCAATTAATTTGTTTTATGGTAACTGTAGGAAAAGTATAATGTGCAACTCGAGTTCAAAGTACAATTGCCTCACTCGAGGTCAATTCCTCACTTTTCTCACTAGTTGCACAAATAACTATTTTCCGTTTCAAAATGGCGGCAGTTTATTTGAAAAAAATCAGTATGTTTTAAAGGTACTAGCTGTACCCACGGGCTTTGGCCCGTTTAACTTCATAAGTATTCGCATGGCTCAATCACATCCTGGTTGAAGTTCGTTCGCTACGCTCACTCACCTTTAGGTTGGGGCTCGTTCGCTGCGCTCACTTGTTTTCAGGTTAGCTCGTTCGCTACGCTAACTCGCCTCCAGGATGATGTTCGTTCGCTACGCTCACTCACCTTTTGGTTGCAAATTAGCTGAGTTGTCATAAATTTAAATAGTCATCCCTTTTATTGTTTATAAAGGTTTTTACGTTTTTAATATTTAACATTGGAGAATTTAAATGTTGTTGAGTGCACAGGTGTGCTGCGATTGGGGTTTAATACATTTGGACTCATGGTGGAAGGAAAAAACATAGGTGTGCTATTCCCACATATTCTGACGTCACTTGGATTACAAACAAAAGATCACCTGATTGTAACTGTCAAATTAGTATGTATTTGTTTTGATTTGATTGTATTTGATTATTGTTATTGTTTGTTAATGTTTTTTATAAAAACAATAACAATCAAATCAAAACAAATACATACTAATTTGACAGTTTACAATCAGGTGATCTTTTGTTTGTAATCCGAGTGACGTCAGAATATGTGGGAATAGCACACCTATGTTTTTTCCTTCCACCATGATTTGGACTAATTCAAAAGTAAAATAGTTTTCTGTGCTGCATTCTGTAGAAACACTGTGGCACTATTTCAAATCATGACTAATGCTAATACAGAATGTTGTGATTATTCAAACCTTCAATACAGTTGGTGAAAGTAAATATCTGCTTTTAAATTATATTTATTTGTAAACATTGTAGATCAAAAAGTCTGACATTGGCCCACTTAAAACCCTGTGGGGCAGAGCCCTTTTGACGGATCTGCACCAAACTTCACTCGAACCATCCTTGAAAGATGCTTAATAATGCCTTAAAGTTTCATTACAATCTGTTGAGCGGTTTCAGAGTCCATAACGTACATATATACACACATACATACATAGTTCCTCTTTTATAGATATAGATTTAGCTTTTTACTGTGATATGCTATATAC